GGTTGGCTTTGCCGAGAAAAAATAAATCATTGGAAGAGAAGAAAAAAGCTTTCAGAAAAAGAGTGCAAGATAAAATCTATTATTAAATTATAACCAATTATTTTTTGGAAAGTTAAAAAAACACTAAAACATTTTGTTAAAAGAAAAAAAAAATACCCCCAAAGCATTGGAACAAACAGGAACAGTAAATAAATTCCGCCTAGGGAGCGCAAATATACTAAATCCATCTTCCACCTCTATTACAATTCCTAAACTGCTTAGTCCTATAATCTCCAAAGGTTTCGCCAATTATTTAGCACCATGGGAGAGTTTCATATGGCATTCTAGTTTAGCAGGGTAATAATGGAAAGAATTTTAATGCAAGCAAAGTATTACTAAGTTGATGTTATTTCAACTGTTTGACGATAAATTTCAGTCTAAATAAAGTGGATATAACATATGGCAAAGAAATTCAAATTAAGAAAAAAATGCTAACGTTTCCTTAAAATTCCCCGATTTTTCTAGGTTTTAATCCAAATTTCACTGACTTTTCCAGTATAAAAATAATTCCCTGATAATTCCAGGTTTTCCAGGTGAGTGGCCACCCTGAAAACGTTGAAACTATGTCAGTGAAATAAACTTTTGTTAATTCTGCTGTTAAAAAATTTTAACGAAACCGAACTTTAACTAATTTTAAGTTTAAATTTCACCCCCAAGCGCTAGCCCACTGGTTGAATTTGTTAGCCTAAAAAAAAATTACAGCTCTACCTTTGTTAAATAAAAGAAAAGGCAAACTAACTTTTGTCAGTCCTTTAGTTTCCTTTGTCTCGAACGTCATCAACGGTAGAAACATTTAATTTAGATCACTAAACCATTAAAGTCATGGCCAAAACAAGTTATAGCAAATTTTACCCTATAAACAACAAGTGCGAAATAGAGTACGGCTTTCAGGAGAACTCCTCCAGACATCAGCCTCGTATCATGGTGGGTACTATAGCCAAAGAATATGCTTACCATCGACGCAGACTTTTAGTCTGGAGGAGTTCTCCTCAAATCCACACAATAGATATATCACAAAATAAATAAATTCGTTAGCAAGCCAACCAAGAAAGAGTAATGTACAAACAATTTTTAGCTTGCTTTTGACTTAGAAAGTGTAGTGATTCATCCTAATGATAGTGTACTGTAGGAATCGTAATTTCAATTTAACTTCATAAAATTTATAGTCTGAATTTTTTATCTTTCAAATTTTGCGCATTCATGGTTATAGACGAAGACTGTTCAGAATTTTTCTTTGTGTCTCAAGTTCACGGAGTTTATTCAAACTCTCTTTAGCACATGCTGAAAACTACAAATTAGAAATTAGTCTACAAACGTTACATTTTGTGTCAGAAAATATTTAGCTATCCACAGAATTAACACAGAAAATATTTGTGTTAATTCTCCCATTAATACAAAAGAAGTTACAACTAAAATGCAAATTATTACTCAGGAGTCACAAATCAGAATTCCAAGCGTTAGCCCATTGTAATAATTCTCATCCCAACAAAAAGTCGAGGCACCTTCTCCCCCCATTGTCAGAAAAAATAAATCTCAAATCGTTATATTTAAATAGCCCAAACATTTCTGAAGCACATAATTAAAATTCTTACCAAAACTATGATGCAACACAAAAGACTTTTCCATAAATCTTCCTCTTCATATAGACATCTCCTGCAAAATCCAAACAAAGGAGTGAGTTATAAGCATTTTAAAAGGAACAATTGAAAATAATACTGTTTAATTTCCAACACTATTAATGTATATGTGAATAATACATTTCAGTTTTATTTACTTAAATAAAAAACTGAACAACTTTGTTTAATGAATTCATACTTCCCATTCTTCTGTCTACCAAAATTAGCCCGCTAAGCAAAATTATAACTACTGAATTTTTTTTTATAAAATGTTATTCTCCTTGATAATTTTTTAATTGATTCTGTACTAATTTTATCCTTACTACTTATATCTGATAAATGAAGGTGTCAAACATTTCAAGGAATAAATTATATAAAAAAGTTTAAAATTAATGCATTTTACCTTAGCTGCTAAGTTTATGACTTTAACATCAGATAGAAAAGATTAGATTGCGGCCTCCTAATTATTATCTAATATAGCTAACTATTTCCTTGAACCACGTTATTTTGAAAAGAAATTGCAATTTTTATTTACATTATTTAAAATTCAAGCTAAAATTTGTTTATTTTCCTAATATGGCCTAAAAGGAATTTAAAGAACTAGAAAGTCCTAGATACTTCAATTTTTTTAAATATTCTGGAATATGGTCTTTTTTTTTTCGAAAACCGATTAAGTTCAATTTCTGAATTTGAACACATCGTTTTTTGAAAAACAACCTCTTGTGCTCTTTTAGTTAAAAATTTATAGCCTTATAGTTCGGAACAATAATCCACGAAATTAATGAGTAATGTTTATGCGTGTTAATTAGTTAATATAACACTGTACTGTATGAAAAACTTTATATCAAAACTAGTAAACACTTTGAAAAAAAGAACTTAAATTCTTTTTTTTATTTTTAAAGAGAGTTGAAATTTTTTGTTTTGATAAGTGGCTGGCAAGGAACGTAATAAATGAATTACAAAGATCTGATCTATTAAGTATTTTTTTTCTCATGTTAGCTTTTACACATTACCAACTTTTTACTCTTACAAAGTATAGTTTTATACTTAATTATTACTCACAGCTCCAGTTATTCATATCGTGTTTTAATATGTTACTATTAAAGGAAAAAATTAAAAAGAAATTGCATAATAGGTATATTTAAAGGCAATATGTAAGATATAGTTGAAATGCCATGATGGTTTAGGGTATAGAGCGCTTGCCTTTCAATGAGGTGAAAATGGTGCGAGTTCCTGTGATGACTGGTCGATTCGAAATCCGCACCCAGCATGCATCGACCCTAGTGCTGGCAAAAAATATCCTCTGTGGCAGAAGGATCATCGGTTAGAGTACCCTTGCCGTCAGATTAACCGTGGAAGGTTTTCATGGTTTTCCTCTCAGTGTAATGCAAATGCGTGTTAGTTCTATTAAAAAAAGTCCTCCATAAAGGCAAATTTCTTCCAATACTTTATTGTCGCGTGTGTTCTAGTTGAGGTTCAAAACTAAAAGGCTACGTAGTTGAACGTTGGTAATCGCAAATCCAAAATCGGGTCTGCTGTTCTACGACTGTTATAAAATACCTTCCCTACCGATACCATTTATGACCCAAATACTACAAATTTGTATTTTACCTTTAAACGTTAGCCCGCGATAATTGGCAAAATAACAAAATAGGTTATAGATAAATTTTGACACATAAAACACAATATTTTACCATTAAACATCAGCTCATTTTATTTTCTAGCCGGCCTTGAACATTGAATCCGTAGCCAATGTCAGCTCCAATATGCGGTCAAGCATTGGGGCAAACTAGCCTTCTGGAAGGACTTTTTAATGGAACTAACCCACATTTGTGTTATATGGAGTAGGAAACCACGAAAACATCCTACGATCAGCCCGGAAGCAAGGGTAAAACATTGGCTCATTGTAGGAAGTCGTTAGTTTATAAAAATGAAGGAACATTTAGTATCTTTCATAAGCATTGCTTATTACCTTCCTCCCCATTCGTCAGAAAAAATAAACTTAGAAGCTTTCATTATATTTGCGAAAACCTGAAATTTCATGCAGCATGAAATTAAAATTTTTACTAAAACTATGATGTATTGTATAACAAAATGCAGATCAATTTTATGACCTAACTTAACCTCATGATAAAAACAATCTATTTTGCAAAATGCATGGGAAACAATTAGATTTCATATGAAATTATTATTATTTCAAAAGGTTTTTTAGATTATAAATAAATTTAAATTAATAAATTATAATATTAATAAATAAATTTAAAAAAAATATTAATAAAGTTTGAATCTTTTCCTTACAAATCAGTCAACATTGATAGGAAAAAACCCGGTATACTTTACGAAATATAAACTTCAAGATAATTGCTGCATAATGTGCGAAATATTTTACACATAAGGAATTTAAGGGATTTTTTTATAGTAATCAAAATAGAACTGCAATATTTTACAGTTATGATTGACATTAAACATACTTTAAATACTATGTATTATGTTTATACATGATTTTGAATATTTAAAGGCATTTAATTCAAAGACAGTTGAAGGAATTTTTTAATTAATTTAAAAAGAGAATCCTCATCCCTATTATACTTCATTATGTTATACTTATTTAATTTTCAAGTAAGCCATAATCTGTGCAAAAATTTTATTTAAATAGGGATTTTTTTCAGGAAACTTGCTCAATTCTAGGAAATTTTTCAAAGATGTACAAAAACCATTAGAATATTAAATAAACCAGTAGACCAGGAGAAACTGACAAAATCCAGTAGAGTTGGCAGCTATGTTTTTATTTCTATGAAATCAATTTTCTATTTTTTTAAAATTGTTTTTAGAATTGTTCAAAGAGTAGAAAAAAATTACTATTCAATTAGAACTTGATAGGATTAGTTTTTGGTAGTTAAGGGAAAAAAACTTATTTCAAAGAATAAGTTTTTTTCCCGAAGTTTTTAAGTTTGTTTAAGAATAACATTACGTAAACTCTTAAAAACCATAGTTTTTACAACTCAACCGTTAGACTGTAATAGACTATGAAATTGTAATATTTAGCACCACTGCATACAATTTGCCAAAAGTAAGAAATCCCCGAGTCATTCATCAAGACCATGTGGCGGTGACTATGGTAACGAGGTATAACTATTTTAAGTAGGGCTGTGTAAGACAGATGATGGCTCTGATCTATTGTGTTAACTCTATAGTGAAGTGAAACTACTCTCCCTAAAATGCACTATTCTTGTTTCCATAGCAGCAGATGGCCTCAGACTTTGTGGTGGGGGGAGTTCTTATCGTGGACAAATTATATATAGCATGCAGATCTAGTAAAAACATTGAGAATTAAATAAAACTTACCAACTAAAGTATCATTGGGTAAGCTGATGCAGGCATATGCTGCACCAGGAGCACTGTACTGTAATTTTGAGCAAGGAGAGTAACAGACCACTTTAAAACCTTCACTGGGGTCAACCTGAACATAAACGTTCTCCAACACTTGATCTAACAAAGTGTTCGTACAGTCAAACTGAAACAAGAGTGCTTTTCTTAAAGAGTTTTTCAATTATTTTATTACTACATGCAGGAAAATATATTTTGTAGAAAAATTGCATTAATAGATCATTATAACATGCAATATTTTAATATTATGGGATGAATAATTCTGAGAAAACTAAACGGAAAAAATAATTTTGAATTTTTTTTCTTTTTGTTTTATAATTGAAATGAAAGAGAAGCATATTTTGTAGTGATTCTACTAGATTTTATAAGCTATAAAATCAGGAAACTTTGAATTTTTTAGGAAAAACAGATCCTCATTTAAAACAATATGTCAATAGATTTAAAATAATAACGTTCTGTGGATCAGCGAATAGAAAAGCAATGATCGTCTGATAATTAGGACTGGGTCATAAATCGCAAACTATCAATTTAACGGATACATCGCCATGGTTATATAGTTGCTGTAGTTTCTTGCAAGCATCTGAATGCTGATTTAAGCCGCCGACATAAGAGGATTGTGATTTAGCGATATAACATACGAGGATCTTTGCAACTAGCTACGAAGATGTTGATTTTATATTGAAAAGAAAACTAAGCTGACTTCGTGATGTTGAATGGCAAAGACCGAATTGCATCAGAAGTCGCGACTTTCTGCGAGGATCTGCTTTGAAATGTAGAACACAATGCATAGTTTTTTGATGCACCCTCTTTCTTTGGGCTTTTACATTTGGGCATTACAAACATACTCTTGAAAAAAAATTTTGATAACTAGAGCTGTTAGGCAAGAAAACAAATATCATTAAAAGGAAGAGTTAAAATAAACAATGCATACGATAAGCAGAACGAATTTTAAATACTTTTAGCTTATAAAGTTACTCACAAGTTTTTATGCAGAAGATTAAAGCTGATATCAGAATTACAAAAAGAAGAAAACTGTAAACTTCTATGCTAGGAATAATTATAGTAAGTTACTATGCGTGATGATACCTTAAATTAATAAAATTAATTTTATTTCGTATTGAATATAGTGAATAAAAAATAAAAAGGCAGAAAAAAGAACGGTGATTTTTAAAAAAAAAATAAAGTTATTATCTAATAAATAATTCAAAATAATAATTATAATAAATGATTCTCTAAAATAAATAATTCAAAAAATATTTAAATCGTTGATTTTAAATGTTTATTTTAACCAATCCACACTTCATATCTCCCTCCCTTATCACAATTTCAAGATAAGGGCACTTATTTTATTTCAGTAGAACAACATTTCAACCTTCCCTCATCTTTCGTTTCCTCCGATGTATTGTCTTGTTTTGATGATCACGTTCGGGTCACCAATATGGGGATAGTAGTTATCGACAATGTCAACCTTCATCTGTGAAAAGGTACCCCAACGTAGAATCTAGTTATCATGTCTTATAAACTAGTGAATTGGAATTGTGTTTTGGTAGTGATAGATACACTACAGTACTCCCCATCAGAATTATAGTTATGATAGAATTCATAGTTGATTCATTGCTGTTTTGTGTGAAGCCGCTGCTGCACTTTTAAGTGCTGATAGTGAGAGCTGTATTAAGTTCACGGTTGTGGTCGCTCCTGTGCTGCCAGCGGCAGTCAAGTGTATACAGGCCGATGCTGTGCGTGATAGAGGCTGAGTAGCAACAGCATTAGAAACTGGATAATGTCACAGTCACAAGTCAACTGTTCACTGTGGACAATTCATCGAAGTAGGCGTGTTTAGATCAAAGTGGTAGTTTCTGTCAATGAAGACGTGTTCACATCTTGTCCGAAGGTCATCAATGTGGGGAGAGGAGTTATTAACAATGTCAACCTTCATTTATGGAAAGATACCCCAACATAAAATAGAGTTAACATGTCTTATATACTAGTGAATTGGAATTTTGTTTATGTAGTGATAGTTACACTACAGTCTCATAACAAATGATATTCTTATTACAGTAAAAGGTCCGGCGGAGACAGTTTTTGAAACTTTACATCTATCGTTCACAAATCCCTGTGGCAGAATTTTTTGAGGGTTTTCTGCCACATACCTCTCCAGTGCTAATATCTTTCTGCTGTGTACTTTAAGTAATAACCAATACATATGTTACTAATTTAAAGTGTGCGCATGTTTCTAATTATAAATACAAATGCTACTAATTTCATGTTACTAAATTGCAGAAGCGTCAACTTACTTTACAACAAAAACTTTTAGGATAAAATAAAATAATTTATCAAATTGAATATGTAATATTATTTTAATATAATATCATAGGCAATATTCCCGCATTTTGTAAGATGGAAACACACAAATTATTTCTTTTTTTGTATTTGTATATCATCTCATTAAAAAAAAATAGAAAATTGTGATATCCATAGCTAAAACTACCACCAAAAAAAAAAATCAACAGCGAAATCACGCAAATCGGACTTTTTAAGAAGAGGTTACTAAATACGGCATTCCATTTTGAGATTCAGTAGTTGTAATAAAAAATATCATATTAAAAATATTGGATTTTTAAAAACTGTTTGAAAATCAATAGCAATAAATGCATATAAAATAGAATTCAGCAGAAAAGGAAACTGAATTTTTTACTTCATTATTTATTATTTTTCATTGTTCGCAAATGAAAATAGAAAAATCATAAGCATTTTTTCCTCACTCAGATGCATGAGAAAAGCATCTTCTGAATATAATTCTGAAGGAAAAATAAAATCTTTCAAAATTTCTGCAGAAAAGAAAACTAAAACATTTTTACTTCCCAAAGGAAAACTCTTCTTGCAAGAATTCGGTATTGGTCTGCGACAATGCCGCCACGATTCTGCCATGGTGTCAAAAATTATACCAATAGTTAAAAACTAATAATTTCGCGAAAATGCCTCAAACATCACATTTGATGTTTATGCATCAATTGATAAAACTTGTAGTATTGCAGAAACTGATGAAGTACAGATTTAATACCATTGCGAACAATGAATATTTGCAATTGTTTAAAACAATGAGGATTTTTTTGTATTATTCTGTATCAATGAAAAACAATGAATGGTCCCAGGAAAAATGATTGATTCAAATGCAAAAAAGATTTCTTACCTGCAACTCAATGTGGTTAGTGAATGTGTGTTTAATGCATCTAACAACAAACTCAGTCTCAGATTCAGTGAGTTCAATAGGAAGAGAAGATTTAAAGAATGGACTCAAGTTCAATGAAGAGAGCTCTGGAACTGCCGACAATTGATCTGAAAAAATCAAACTAAAAATATCAGAGATGTCACAGCTTTTGTTTTAAAGAGAACTTACTTAACTTTACAATAAAATAAAAGCTTTAGCGACAATCAGTTTTAAACTTTAATAAATGTGCACTTATTTCTTAAAGGGCAGGTAAGTCCTTTTTTATTATCAATCAAAATATTTATTTGTGAGTATTTGAATGAATTGAAAAATATTAGCTAAGGTTAATAGATTTGGATGCTTTTTCTTCCATTGGGGTGCACAATCTTCGGCACGCCGACTGCTTATGTGCAGCCTGCGAAAGCTTTTGAACACAATCATATCTGCCAACATTGGCAAAATAAAATAACGGAGATTTTACCAGCTACATTTTTTTATGCTATGAGAAAAGTTTTGAGACATTATGCATAGTCATGTAAGTCAAAAAGGGAAATTCGAAATAATATAAGCACTTACATTTTGTGAAGTAAAAAATATGTATATAAATATTAATATTTAATATATTTTAAACCATTATTTATAACTACTTAAACTATTTTATAATCATCGTTGAACAGCCGATCCAATTTTTGGGTTTACGACTACTAATGTTCAACTCCGTAGCTTTGTAATTTTGAACCCAATTCAGAAGACAAGGGAACTCCTGGATCAAGTATTGAGAGAAATTTGCCTTCGTGGGGGACTTTTTGATGGAACTAACCCGCACTTGCGTTACATGGAGAAGAAGACCACGAGAACCTCCCACGGATAGCCTGACGGCAAGGGGACTCTAACCCATGATCCGTCTACCATGGAGAATATTTCACATTAGCACTGTGGTCGGTGCAAGCCGGATGCGGAATTCGTATCGACCAGCCATTGCCGGGATCGAACCCCGGTTCACCTCATTGAAGGCGAACGCTCTATTTCTCGATCAATTTTTGTTGTTATTGTATGAAATTCTGCGTGGTTTAAAGAAAATGTTTGCGCAATTTTATTGTATCCCTGGTTTACATAAATTACTGTTGTTATTCGATTTAATTTATCTTGAAATATTTATTTTTAGGTGGTGTAGAGGCCGCAATAGGTGGTGGTGAGTAAATTTCAAATTTTGTAAGTGATGGTAACCAAGTGAAAGTATTTCTTGAACTCAAAAATATATTTCAAATTCTTAAAATGATTTTCATGTTCTAATTTATAACATTAAATGGAAATATAAATATTTTAAGAACACTTTAGAAATGAAACTTCTTATACCACAGATATTGAATGTTGGAAAAATGAAGTTCTTAAAAATTTAATTATTAAAATTCATTTTATTATTTAGATGGTGGTGCAGGAGTTATCGTGAGCAAAAGCAAGAAAATTTGAAACGTTAAGAATTACACACAGAATGTTCCATATGACCACCCTTAATAAACATTTTTCGACACCATGTCAAAAATAGAGTGATAAAAACATTCATAATAATAAATTATTTAAATTTTATCACACTGAAAATAAATGGACTCTAAATTACGAGTTGAAAATGAACTAAATGAGCAATAAAATATAGAACTTATGAAGTATTGGAGTCTACTAAATAATTTAGTCCTTATTCTCTGTTACTCAGAACTTATTTAAAAATTAAAAAGTATAAACATTAATAAAATTTTATTAGTAGATCTGACAAGAGATTTTTTTAACTTTCAAAGCTGCAAATAAGAAGTGTCTAGTTTTATGCAAAATAGTTACACTAAGATGACAGGTCCAAGCCAGATATTTAAAAATAGTTAATTTCGAAACAATTGATTAAACTTATGCAAATAAAAACCCTCCCTTATTTCAATATTATGTTAATAATGTATCTTAAAAATTAATTGTACTAAAATGGTAAAATGACTTAAATTTAGTTGTTGTTAAAGTTAATTTTCACTTTTAGGTCACTTTTGTCCCTTAAAAGATATAATGGACCAATCATAGAAGAGAAAAAATTAAATTATGATCATTCTTAATAAAAGAAAGAGTTTGAAATTTCATGAAATATTTGTATACTTAATATGATAAATAATCATGCAAATTATAAATAAATTAAATAAAATAAAATAAATCCTTTTAGGATAAAAAATATTTCAAACGGTTATATAATGTGCAATTTTTTCAGTACTGTATCAGTATTGCATAGATTGTAAAAATTTTTTATATGTACTATCTTAATATTTATAAATCAAAAAGGATATATTTATGCTTATAATCTGAAGGGTTAATTGCTGAATATTTTAACATTGCCAAATTTTATTTTGAAAGAAATTATCTTAAGAAATAATAAAAAAGAAAATACTTAGAGGTAACACTTTTCTATGTCTCAATTAACATATTTATTGACTTCATTGAATATATGTAAAAAGTATGTCGAAATATATTTTATGTTGGTCGATAGTGTGCAGATTAATTTATTAAAAATTAAAATACTATTCCATAAATTATGGTTTGCCGAATGTCACATTATCTAAAAAATCGCTTATACACAAAAATATTAAGACTGATAAATCATATTTACCATAAAAATGTCCAAAATCCTTGTGTGCTGAAAAATAAAACATAATGATGCTATTTTTTTTAATGAAATAACACACTAATAATATTAAAAATAAAATAAAATACACAAAAAGATTTGATAATATCAAACACTAAACAAAGTTTTTCCTACAGTGACAATTTTTTTAAATGATAAAAACTATCGTAACTGATCAAATATACCTAATTAAAATGCATATCCAACAGCTTTTTTCAAGATGACGACTAGCATGTTTAATTATTTAATTGCAACAAAACATGGGAAGTTTGGTTTTTATTTTTAATAATTATTATGAGGAGGAAAACAAACTTTTAATTTTTTTTGTAATGATAAAACTTCACTGTATTTTTACTTAGTATTGATAATAGTTTATTTTTTTAAAAATAAAAATAAAAAATATAAAGGAGGACCAATACCTTCACCCTCGGTCCCTAAGCAGGCTGATCAAAGTTGTCACCCACCCGCTTACTGACCGCAGCCATTGATGCTTGACTTTGGTGTTCTACTGGGAACCGTGTCTTTACGATCAGTCCACTGCAGGACCATCAAAACAAAGAGTGAGCTAGAACTGTTAAGCTGAAAAGTGAGATAAAGCTGTTAAGTCGAAAGGTGCACTACAATCCCTTTCATCTGCTTTCTAAGAAATTGTCCATTATCAGGTGTTTTATTACAACGTTAGGTTCTTTTCCTCTTGCCCTTATACGTCAAATTATTTTTAACCTCTCTAGACATGAGGTTCTGGGTTTGTCAGAATGCAGAAGGGTTTGATGTCAGGATATGAGGAATTTTCTTCTAATCGAAATAGGGACTAGCTTTCAGTTTTATGCCTATTCTGACAGATAAATAGAAAAGGTTTTCTTTGACTTTTACTAGGATTAGCTTCAACTCTTTTAACATTAAATTTTAGTTACTGACTTATTTGAAATTTCCAGAAGAAAGTTAAGCTTTATAAATTTGCACAAATATGAATAACTGAATGCTATTTTACAGTTATGCTCATACTGTAGAGCAAAAATAATATTATTCTGTTCTTTCTATTTATCTGCCTATTCTGCCTAAAACCTTTTCTATTTATCTGCCTATTCTGACAGATAAATAGAAAAGGTTTTCTTTGACTTTTACTAGGATTAGCTTCAACTCTTTTAACATTAAATTTTAGTTACTGACTTATTTGAAATTTCCAAAAGAAAGTTAAGCTTTATAAATTTGCACAAATATGAATAACTGAATCCTATTTTACAGTTATGCTCATACTGTAGAGCAAAAATAATATTATTCTGTTCTTATACAAATTAGTTATACTATTAGTGGTCATCCGCTTATAGGAATCAAATGCTTCAGGTATGAATTTGATGTCATGATTTTAAAAAAAGAATTTGAAAATCAGCAGCTTTAATTGCGAAAAAAAATGAAAATTCGGATTTAGTGATAATCAAGCGCAGCTTAAGGTAATTACTCAAATGTTAGAATCAAATTCCTCGTTTCCAGGGGTCTGTCCAGACATTTTGTGAAAGGTCCGTTTTTCGTGAAATTGTGAAAAAATTACTCACATTCTTTCAACCAGGAATTCACATTCTTTTATGAATTTGTGCAAATAGGGTCCGTTATTGCAAAAAAAAATTTTTCAAGGAGTTTTTAAATTTTAAAGACATACAAGATTATGCTCAACACTGTAAAATTATAATTAAAAAAATTAAATTTTAAAAAATAAACAATAATTGCTGCTTCTAAATTAGAGATGCAACATACAACTATTTGGTATTTAGCCTATACTGCTGAACGCAGTACATTAATTTCGGACGAATAATGGAAGAAGCATCTGCTGAAGACAAAACGTAATTCGTTTGCATCCATCTTTCTTGTTTTCTGCCCTGGAAAGGGTTTATTTGAATAATACAATAATAATGAAGATAAACAAATTTGTGAAGGGTCCGATTAAAAGAAAAATCATTTTGTGAAGGGTCCGTTTTTATGTTAAAATATTTTGTGAAAGGTCCGTTTTTAAGTTAAAATATTTTGTGAAGGGTCCGTTTTTATGATAAGATATTTTGTGAAGGGTAAGTTAACGAACCCAAATTTCTTCTAAACAGACCCCTGGTTTCTAAATAATATTGAAAGTAAAATTATATGCTATTGTGTGTAAAATTAATAATATGAGTTTTAAAAAATGCATGGATATCAGTCGCAATAAGCTAAAAGAAAGTCATTAAAAAAACAATGGTGTCGTTGGGTCAAAACGTGACTAATAAATGCACAAATATAATTTTGCAAATCGTAACAATGTTTAAACAATGTAGAAAACATTGAGAAAGTTTTTAGTATTAATAGCCAATAAAATTATTGAAGAAATGCAAGGATGTAATAGTATCACAGTGCTTATGATACTATTCACACAACTCAAGCGTATTGAAAAGTAATTACTCAAAGGCATGATTCAAATTTTGAGACAAAAACTATGAGAAAATCATTTTCATTAATTGAAAAAGAAGAAAAAAAAAGAGATCGAAACACAGATTCGTTATGGGATCGCACGCATTGAATGTGCAATTAGAAATTCCCATGCTGTGTGATCA